TTTAAAACTTTTTTGTGTTTATAAATAGATGTGGTGTTTTTGGTGTTGTAGTTTAACAAAAACACAATGGTCTCCAAATACATAATGCTTTCTTTTGGGCAAAAATACCATAGAAATACCTAATGCATCATGATATCCATAGAAATACCTAATGCATCATGATATCCAAAAGTTCCCTTAGGGTCTGTTTGGAAACTTTATGATATTGTGCCAGATTTGAAACTAGCCTAGTTATAGGGCATTTTCTAATTGGCATACAATGGGCTGGTTTTAGCCTAGTTTGTTTTAGCTTAATTTTAGGGCTTTAAACATGTTTTGTTATGGATGGAGGGGACGCGGTCCATATTTGAACTGGTCCAATCTAGCCCATTTTAACTAAGTTGCCAAACACATCCTTAGATATTTAGCTCGTCTCCAATTAGGTGGTAAACGGGGATGATTCAATTACCTCAATACTCACTATTCATTCCAATTTCAAATGATGAGATTAGGCCAAGTAGTATTTCTAGTGTCACAATAGTGGTTAATTTACAAGACAATGATGACTTTTAAGATTAATATAGTGAAAAGCTTACTTTGCCTAATTTCTATCCCTAGAAATGGTGAGGATGTGGGCAATTGACCAGAATCTGAATCCAAAATTTAGATGTTTCCATTATTAGTCACGAATGAAAGAGATTTTTTTTTTTGTCAACACTTTAGGTGAGGATATTTCGAGAAAATAGGGTGTTAACGAAGCTTTGCTTACAGGCTGGGCTCTTGGTGGGTCGGTCGTGCCTGCGTCGGCTAATATCGCCGAAATACAAGATTGACGACGATAGTCATCTCATAAGCATGGCTTCAATAGGGGGCACCTTCTTCATGTTCCTAGTCGGATTAGAGATGGACTTTCGATTCCTCGTGCGTTCGATCCGCGCGGCGTCTTTCATAACTCTAGGCAACACCGTCACTAGCCTTCTACTCGCATCTATCGTCGGCCCGGCCATATATGGCGAACTCGGCATCGACGGAGGACAAGTTCTCTTCGTGTTCATCTTGACCATCATCTTCGCTAACACGGCCTCCCCCGTGCTCATCCACATGATGGCCGAGCTAAAGATGACGATGTCGGAGGTAGGGCGCCTCGGGATCTCCACCGCCTTGATCAACGACGTGACGTGCCTCGTCATCGTCGGAGTCGTCATACTCTTCCCCATGCCGAACGAGGGAAAACAGCCGGGGGAGAAGTTCGTGGAAGGCCTGGAGGCCTTGATCCTGATCGTAGCGTCGGCGGGGATTCTGAGGGCGATCGTGCAGCTGATCAATCGGATAAGCAAGAAGCGTCG